ACTGTTAGTGTGATTACAGGGCTGACTACAAGTCTCTTTCCTGCCATCTGCGACGTTAGTAAAAATAATTTCACACTCGATACATTCGCCAGCGAAGAAGACAGAACCACGAAGCAAGCGCGCCTTCACTTCGATCATCGTAAAAACAATCAAGATTTGGTTCTCTCCTCACATATATGTTCTGCGTCCATTCTTAATGCTAACAAAAAAAACCATTAGAGGTCGTCTTGTTGTTTTTGTACGACCCAATTCCTGGAACCATTCCCGAGAAAATATATCGTCTGCTGTGTTCCTCCCGCATCCGCCATATTAAATGAAAGTACTAACTCTTCCGGAAGCAGCAGCTGACCCTCCTGTTCGCAGACATAGCTTCAACAGGACGCAGGAGAAAACAAAACACAACGCACCCGCTGCCCGGAGGAATTTCCATATAAAAAGGATAGGGGTACTCGTCGGAAACTTTGAAAGGAACCCCTAAGAGGTACCAAGGTCCTATTTTGTGGATGTGGCTTGAAATTTTTGTCACCCCTAAGAGGTACCAATTGTAAACAACAAATGAGCATCCCCGTCCTTATTATAAGGGACTCCCCCAACCCTGGAACTAGATGTTTAGAATGTGTGTTACTGTTTTTTTTCTTCTCTGTTTGTGTGGTTCCAAAAGGCTGGACCCTGGTGAAAGGTAAAATTCACATTTCCCTCCATAAACCAAGCCTTTTAACATACATTACATGTAACAGATCAAGAGACTGATTGTAAACTATGTTGCTATGGTAACCTGTCACAACAACTTGTTCACCAATGACTAGGCATTTGTTAAATACCTGTATTGTAGTGTCAACAGACCAATTTCAATATATTAAAATTCAGCCTAAACTAATAGACCTCGGCACGAGGCTCTGGGGAATAACTACAGAGTTTGTGGGGTTTATTCCTCAGAGCCTCAAGCTGAGGTCTATTGTTTTAGGCTGAATTTTAATATATTGGAATTGGGCTATTGAAAAGGAGTTGTGGAATTTATCCATCAAAGTATTTGTGTTCTAACAGGGCTAACAGGTGCTCTAAGGGCTAACAGTCAAAACGCCAGCTTTACAAACTCACTATGGTGATTAATTTACCTTTATCAACGTCAAGTTTATAAAAAGCCATGTATAAGTGCTGGAAACCATTCCAAACACATGGCATCCACACAAACAGAAGACAAATTTGTTTGTATAGAGCTCTTATCTGTCACTAATTTGATTCTTGAGCAGTGTGTACCTAGTAGACAGCCAATGGCACCACTACTTGCTCATGCATTGAATCTGTAACAGTGCCATGGAATACCTGTTTACCTGACAGGTTTTTTTGCCTGTAGTCTCATTCTGCCAAGGGCTACATAGAAGGCTTAGCATGATTTTACAGCCATCATGGATTATGGCTAATAAAAGTTTTCACAGCAGATCTATAGAACTATTTTTTAGAGGAGTGGTGGTACTTTATACCACAGGGTACAAGAATGATTAACATTCTAGCATGTGTCACTGTACTCCTGTGGTTTCATCCTTGTAGCCTGCATTGCATTTCTAAATGGGGAAGGGGTACATAGGCCTTTTTAAAGACAAAAGTAATAGCCTCCTCTAGGTGTTCAGTTAGTTGGGGTGTAGTGTGAAAAAAAGGAGGGCGAGGTCACACTGCACCCCAACTAATTGAACACCTAGAAGAGGCTACAACAGGAAGGAAACAAGGCATGGTTTGGTAATGTACATAACATGCACATACTATGTATGATTACATAAAATATCACAATGGAACTTAAAAGTTTAAAATTTATTGACAATTTTTTTATATCTTTGTGAAAAAACCACCTGTCTGATGTGTTACACAGTTCTGGTCAATATTATCATTGAACCATGAATAAACATGTATTTTTCATATAAAAAGTGAATCTCCAATTCTCTTTATAAATGACTTGCCAGAAGTTAAATAATCAAGGAATGAACAAACTGTTTCATAATATTCAATGAATCCTTTTCCCCCTTGAATATGGTTCCAACAGTCTTGTCGCAAGTTAAATAATTCACTCTAGAAAACATCCCAATCAGGTTAAGGGTCATTTATTCTGGACCACCTCTCTAAAAGTGAAGCAAAGTAATAATTAGAAAAATGTCAGTAACATCATGAAAATCAAGGACAATTTATAAACAAAAAAGTTCTTCAATACTATCAGTTTCTAATAAGTAGCAATAAACAGTAAATAAAAAGTCTGAAAATATAGGTATATTGATAACTACCAGTACCTTGATTACACATCATGGCTGCCTGTCATCACTGACATCTAATCATATATTTATTATTTAAAAATTTTTACTTTTTAGTATTTTTTCATTATTTTTTCAATTATTTTTTTTATTTTTAAATAAAAAAATATCTTGACTGACCACTCCCCCAGTGAGGCTTTTCAAGGCCAATGAACCCAGGTGATGAAACAAATAATGCAAATGAACATAACATGGTTAAAAATCCCAACTGGCAGGAGGGAGACCAGTTGGCTATGTACAAGCATGACCGAGGAGTTGAACTAGGGTCTATGGAGAAACAAATCCAGCTTAGTGGTCAGAGTGGAACTTGAACCCACAACCTCCAGATTTCAAGTCTGGCACCCTAACCACTCGGCCATACTGCCTCCGCAATTATTGTTACCAATATATTGGGGTCAGTTTAAAGTTTGGGCTGCTGGTTTATATTTGTTAGTATGAGAATTATTTTGCTATGCAAGGGTTAATTACACCATGATAGTATTCCATATACTTACTGTATATTTGGCTAGGCTAAAGAATAACTCTCATTGTTATACCTCAAAGCTCAAATATGTTTTCTGCTTAGAGGAGAACATGTCAAATCCCAAGGTTCAAAACTCACTAACTCCCTAGGGCAAACAAAACTCACTAACTCTCTAGGGCAAACAAAACTCACAAACTCTCTAGGGCAAACAAAACTCACTAACCCTCTACGGCAAACAAAACTCTCTAGGGAACAGCAACTTGAACTTTTGACTCGCACATGGTCAGGTCATACACCTTGAAACCACAGTAAATTTGTGTGTCGGCCAGCATCAGTCAAATAATTTTTTTGCAGTTTGTTCCATTTTGAGCTTGGAGATATAACAAAAGACTTAATGAATAGCTCCAGGGGAAACAGTGAGTTTTGTTTCCCCAAGTCCCTCAATGTTCCCCTGAGGTGGAGCCAAGGAGAACACTAAGGGTTGAGGGGAAACAAATCTCACTGTGTCCTTTGGGGTCAGTCATTAAGTGGTTGTCAGTAAAAACTGCATCATTGGATAAATTCAAGAGTTTTCATTGGCTTAGCCATCGTGGTATATGACCAATTATACCATGCTCTTCAAAAATGGTGAGCATGTGTGTCATGTTTAGGACATTTTCATTTTAGTCTTCTATAGTGTGGGAGTATTTCTAATAAAACAATAATTTATTGCTTCAATAATGTTGTTTTATTCAATAATTTACTAATTCTAAAATAATAATTTAATTTTCAATAATTGTTTATTCCACAAATGTGTATTGGATATGGAATGATTAAAGCCAGTGCTATGAGCCTGGTTTGCTATCTATCATCTCATGCCCATTGCAAGCTTGTGGAGTAATTGTTAATTATACACTGGGACTTTTTCATAATGGGGCTTATAATATTGGGGTACAACTGTAAGTAATTTTCAAGACAGCCTGTACAATTTCTCAGTCAGTACAGTAGGTCACTAAAAACAACTTCATCAATTAAATGCCTATTGAGTGCCATTGATAGGCAATTGATTAATTATTAATCACTATATTGCCAGCCACTGATATTCAGATTGCATAATCAATTTCGTATCCAGTCATTGACTGATTGAATAAGCCAGGTCCTTGGTAGATGTGAGCTGGAGGTTCTTTCAAATGGAATCGAGCCGATGAATTTCACAGACCCCCTAAAAATGATAGAACGGGTTGTTAATATTGTACGCTTTCTAGAGCTAACCTCAATATACTCCATTTCATCTTGTGTTAAAGGCCGTCTTCTGTATCTTGCCGGTAAAGTGTGATAACTATGCAGGTCGTCTGAATTAAAAGCAGCGCTCGAGGAAGAGATAGTTGTAGGTCGAGCCGCTGATGCTGCAGGTAATGTTCGTTTACTGATCGCAGACAGAATAGACGAAATCTCAAGAGTTCTGTCTGACGGACCGGCTACCGATAATGAAGACACAAAAGGATTCGAATAAGTTTAAATCCTCTGCTCAATGAGAAAGAGTAAAATCGCTCTTTCCTACTTACCCTTTGTTTTCTTTTTTATTCTGTTTGGAAACCTTATACTGGGAATATGTTTTCTGACTTGTTGCACCACTCTAGTGGTGGCGGACGCCATTTTGATTTGTAAATTTCGCAAAGAGTTCTGGGTGTCGTAGAGCTTGACGTTTACCGATTGTTACACGAATGAACGAACAGTTCCGAAATGTTGCCGACTGGCTGAAGTTTCAAAATGGCGGAAGAAGCCGGTGCTGTTGGAGAAACGTGGATTCCTGCTTCAAGAAGACCTGATGGTACATGGCGCAAGGCTCGCAGAGTGAAGGAAGGTTATGTGCCACCGGATGAAGTGGCAAAATACGAAAGTAAAGGAAAGCAGTGGGTAGATAGTATTCCAAAATTGCCACCGGGTGTACATGAGGAAGAAAGCAAACAGCTTTCAAAGAATCAGAAAAAGAGAAAGAACAAGAAGAAAGATGGAAACGATAGTCAAAGATGCGAAGTCGCAGAAGTTACAGAGAAAATGCAAAGCACCAAAGTTTCTAGTGTTGCGACTGCAGGGGGGACAGTGTACACAAGTAACCCCGACGATTTAAAAGTAAAACGTGTTAAGAATCTCAGGAAGAAATTACGACAAATCCAAGACTTACAAGCTAAAATTGACTGTGGAGAGTTAGTGAATCCAGAAGCTACACAGGTAGAAAAGTTATCGAGGAGGGAAGAGATAGAAAAGGAACTTGAAGAATTGGAGGCGGAAGTATGAAACCTGATATGAAATATAATAGGCTAAATTTCTCAGTACCACAACCACAAGTCAACCTACTAACATCAGTGGATTAAGTAGTGAGTGGACTGTAGTACTGTGACAGAGTTCAGTCACAGGGGCCCTCTTGTTTAAATTTGATAACCTTAACTGTTTATGATGTCTTTTGTCCATTTTGTGAGGTTTGGAGCCAAAAAACTGTGGGATCGGAAATGGCTGAGAAAAATTGCAGGGGAAATCAGAGTTTCTTTTCCAAGTAGCCTGTATTACTGTCTGCTTTTAAGCTTAAAAGCAGTCCAATTGCTTTAACACAAGCCAGTGGCTGATCTCTGAAACACAGAATCTCAAGCCTGTGTAGCAAGCATTCCTTACCAGTCTGAAGGAAAGGGTGAACAAGCAGTCTGGTCAATCAAAGATTGGGGCAAGAGCAAAAAAATCGACAGTCTGCTTCATCAAAGTTTTTGCTCTCGCTACAATTTTCGTGTGGCCAGAAATATGTGGAAAAAGCTCTTAGTTCCTTCAGAATATAAATATCAACGGAAGGACTGATTTGTTTATGGTTAAATGGTTAACACACTTGGCTAGATCAGGTGAAAACTGTAAGCAAAGTGTCTTGCTCAAGAACACAGTGCACTTCCCCTGTAACTGGTGGACAAAACAGTAACTTAGTGTATGCAGCCAGTGAAGAGCAAAGACATTTAATACAGTAAGGGATGAACCATTTTATCTTTGAGGGTGCCTCAGGCAATTTTATGATCATAAATTTTATAGGACTAGGTCATGCAAGAATTTGTTTTTCGATATGCCTGTGTCTTGTGGGACCCTCTTGTGTATAGGAATATTTTTTGATAATCAATACCATCATTAAGAACTATGTGCCATCCCTCAGTTTGCAAGGAGTGCAGGCATTATTATTCTCATAATATTGGCCTCTTTATGCTTCCTTTCAAAATTGAGGTTTTTTCACCTTGCACACCAAGGTTACTATGCCACAGGGACGTGGAATGGTCAAACATTGTACAACAGAATTTGCCTCTAAGCCTAAGAATCACTGGACCCATCACTTGCTCACTGTAACAAACATAAGTGCAATTGCTTATAAGTAATTTTATTATCAAATAAAAATGAAGCAAACTAGATAATTCAGTCACCTACTTTGAGACAAAACTCCTGTCTATTGTGTTTGTAAAGTGAGAGCATTGCCCTCCTAACATTCTTTAGAGCAAAATGGCCGACTGTCCCAACTAATACCTCACCCCAAACTTTAAAGGCTGATAATAACACAATCTCACCTGACTCAGAGGATAGTGGCTGTTGTCGAGAAGGGACAACTGTGAGGAAGTATTCGTATGGGTGTAATATGACACCTGTTTTTGGGACGTGCAACATTTTTATTTGTAAAAGATACCTATTGTAGCAAATAAAAACTTAACGCAATCAAAATATATCAACAAAACAGAAACCAACAAATAGAGACTAACAACACTTAATACAGATAAATTGTGGGTCCTGGCTGGGGGGGGGGGGNAGGGTCTCAATTGAGGGCATCTATTGACTCTTGACAACAGAGGCCTTTACTACACACCTGTGGGGTTACTCCTTATAATGGCCTATATGGGGAGGTTCCCACTGAAAGGGGTACCTTCCCAGGCTTCAGGATATTGAAGAGTAGGGATTTCACAAGTTGAGGTAATTGAAAGGGTAGACAAATAGGAGTATCGTAACATTGCCACAACAAAAACTGAACAAAGAATTGTTTTATGGTCACCGGTAACATCTCTTTAATAATGCCTGATGTTCTCCTCTGATATTGTTCATTATCTTCATTCCATATACTTCAGATGAAATATACTACTGACTTTTTCACACAAAAGTAGTTTCCTCTTGTGGAAAATTCAGAGAGCAAAAATCATACTCAAAACCAATCAGTCTCGCATTGCACGCTTGGGCAATTTTTGAATTACTTGTCAAATAGCATTATTGCAGATCAGGCATTCCCAAAATACTTTAAAAATTGGCAAACTTTGGGTGATGTGAAATGATCCCAATGCCCCTATCCTTGCAGGGGTGGGACTCCCATATAAAAACAATAGGGGTGCTTGCCGGAAATTTTGAAAAGAATCCCTCAGAGGTACCAAGATCCTTTTTTATGGGCGTGGCTTGAAATGCTATATACTCCTAAGAGAAACCAACTCTAAAACAAGACGTTATCTTGTCATGTTTTTTTCCACTCAATGCCCTAAAAGGTACTGCAAAAGCTCCTGCTGTGGACTTTTTGAGGCTGAATCCCTAGGAGGAACCAAAACCACGTTTTTAATCTCTAAAAGGTACGATGAGCACCGCCAAGCCCCCATCTGCCCTTGTTGATCATGGTATTCTAAATCCTCCCAACAACTTAGCACGAGGCTCACTTATCCAATTGACAATGTACAAACAATGTGAAAGCAACTTGAAAGAAAGCAATTGTTTTATTAAAATCCACTTTAAAAAATGCTGGTGAAAATTAACCTTTGAAGCAAATATCTTCAATGTACCATATTTTTACAGGAATATTTTCATCGTCATATCACTCCCTCTGTAATTCTCTTTGAAACATGATACCTTATAACTTACATATATATATATATATATTGTGTGGTTGCATGGTTGATACTACTACTACCACTACAATTGCCCCTGCAAAAAAAAAAAACAAAGAAGAAAAAAACTAATGGCCACTGCCACCACTGCTGCTACTACTAAACTGATATTTCTGTAGAGGTGGGAGTTCAAGCCAAAAAACCTTCCATGGGTAGAGTACGGGTATTTTGTGGGGCAGCACATGTTTAGTTTTCCATTGTTCACTTGCAAAAGCTCTTGGGTTGAAAATTAACAAAGACCAGTGTGGTTTGAGTAATATTTTTCCACGCTCAAGGCAACATTTAAGGTTCATAAGTTAAAATCCAATCATTATGTTGCTCTAGAAAATAGCCAACTCCCAAATGGATCTGATCTGATATGTATGGCCCCCTTTGATTTTTCTTTCGATGTCCATGGTCTCCTTATCATGGATTTTGACTCCATCCCAGTCAATCTCTCCAGAATTGTACATTTGTATTGTTTCAAGTGAAAAGTTCTGCATTGGTAGAGTCAGTTATTATTGAATCATCATCCTCATTACCATCATTGAAAGGCTCATCTACATATATGCTTAAACCATTCTCATTCTACAGATTAAATAAGCATTCTTGAAATCCCATTTTTGTGTTTTTTTTCCCTATATTCTTCAAATGTGTTTCCATTGCCAAAACAATAATCTGTTTAAAAATATGTGGTATGCTGGCATATCAATCACATGACTAAACCATATATTATTCTATTTACAAGAATCAAATTTGAAGACTTACTCTGAGAATAAACATAATTTCTTTATAAAGAATATGTACCTTACATGTTGTCATATCTTTCTTTTCTTCTTTCTCAAAAAGAACAAATATTACTACTATTATTTTCATTCCATAATTAAGAACAGATCTATTATTTTCCTTTCTTTGAAACAGGTTATTTCCATAATACCGGCACACTGGTCAAATGTGGCCCTTTATATAATGTATAACCTACAGAACAGAATGTAAATTTAATATTAAATATTTTAATAATTTCATTTCTATTTGTCTGACTGATCTCCAGCTTGAAGTTGTCGAAGAGAGAGTGGGGGAGGCAATGCATCATGGGATAGTTGCTGGACTGTTCTGTCAACACTCTCGTAAGTTAAACCTCCTTTTGCTTCCATTTCTCTGAAAAGAAAATGCAAACCAATTATCAAATGTTATTAAATAGATAGACTTGTACATGTTCATATGGCCCCATTCTTCCAGGGGAGAGCTAGGAATTAGTAGTAGTACATGTTCATAATCCGCTAGAAAACTCTGGTGAGCGGTCCTTAGAATGGAAGGATTTTTCCTGTCAAAAATGAAATTAGCCGTCTAACAAAGAGACCTGGGACTTTCTAGTCACAGTCAAAATTAAACCCACACTGTTTTGTAAAATGGGGCTGGAAGTAGAAGAAATGTACAAATGATACAAATATCTTAATTCATTGTTCTGTTCCATTAAATGCAGTGATCTGCTTTCTTCAGCTCTCCGTGAGTAATACTAAATCTTGATGCATGTACAATTATTTTTACTATCATCATTATTATTACTATTATTATTATTTTTTATTTTTGCTGGCAAGCCGTAGCGAGGCAGCAGCCTATTCTTTACAATAGTGAGAAAAAGCCAAAATCTGTTGGATGTAAGATCAGAGACATGCACAGTCGATTGCGTTTTTTATATCTGGGCATTCTAGGGTGCTTGTGAATGCACATGGAAGTATCGATCGATTTCGCGCAATAGCTGAGTACAGCTGTCCCACTCTGCTAGAAATCAAGGACATGATAAATGAGGTGAAATATAGATGTCTTTACTTGCTTGTGGAAGTATTCATCAATGTCATGAACGGTTTAGTGATGACTCTCGAGGAAGACAAGAGATTTTTATGTGTTTGGCTGCTCTATTATGTGAGCAGTTTTTGCCGATTCACAAATGGAGGTGCCAAGATATTGATCAAGTCCTACTTCATGGAGATCATTTTTTTTTTCAGTGCATTCAGCAGCAGTGAAGTGTTAGGCAAAAATGCTTCCATTTGGAGTAAACTGCTGACTGCAGCTTGCTGGTCTCAGGAGAAAAGAGAGGAAGGTGTGAAGCCAACCTGCTTTACGTCGAAAGCGACTTTGGTACCACAGGTAAATCATTCACAGTATTCTTTGCCCATTGAGGTGTTAAATTTGATTGTTGAGTCAAAATCTCTGCCCATTGAGGTAAATAATTCGACCATTGAGTTACATTTGCCCGTTGCGGTGAAAGAAAAGCTTGGAATCATATTGTCATGTGGATTTTGATTTCCATGCTTTAATGCGATTTGACATGACCTTTGATGACACATTGCATGACAGCTCCAGTTTTGGTAAACTCACAAGTTCATGCTATTAAAATGTCTCATTTTCACTTTTACTGATAATGTTTAAGCATAAAGGCTAATTTTAAAAATAATACTTGTGGAAATACATCTTCTAAAGGTTTCCTGGGTCTCTTAAAGCAAGTTCTGGCATTTGTTACGTCAATCTTAACTCAAGAAGTAAATTTTGGGGCTCTGTTGTTGTTTCACAAAAGCCCTTTAAAACTAAACTAGTTGGAAAAATCGTCATTCTCTTCTTAAACAGCTACATCAACCCCTATTATACTGTTTATTTCAAATCAATTATCCTTAAAAACACAACAACGCTTTTCAGTTTTCAGAACATGTTTCAATGTTTTAAACATCATCATCAGCCATTATGAATGTATAGAAAAGATTTACAAAATGATCGGTATATATAACTACTCATATACAATGAAACTAATGAATTAAAATATTTGTCAACTATTAAACTTATTTAAACTAACCAATAGAATGAAACACAAACAAGAAAAAATAATCTAAAACTGCCTGTAAACAACAGTAGATAAATTTAGAAATGCAACGACAAATTAACATGCTCAACTTGTTTGTTGAGTTCAGGTTTCAACTGTTCAATATGAAAACTCTCTTTTATTTTAAGTTGAAAATAAGTGCTGGCATGATCAATCGAGAATCTTAAAACAAGAAATATCACACTTATCCATACAACCTTTAGAAGCACTGAGATGTTTCAAATCATATCAGTATTTCCTTCAAGCTCTGACGCCAGCACCCACTTTCACATTGAAACTCCTAGTTTTTATTATTATTTATTAACAAAGTGGATACTTCACAAGTTACATTATTTTTCATGTGATGACACCAAAAAAGTGGGATTTTAATCCAAAAACAAATCTTTGCCACAAATATACCGGCCAGGGGCAATGGTGTACTCTCCAGGCACATTTTAATAATTTGTAAGAAAGAGCTTTACACAGAGAAGCACATGGTGCAGCCATAATTAATGAGAATTGCCTTATTCACTCCTGACATGCTGCTTGTTTTACTGAGCCATAATGAACTTCATATGACCAATCATGATGGCATAACTTCTTGCACATACATGTATTTCAGATCTAGAAATTACTTATTTATATATTAAATTTGCACTAATTGCAAAGTATATAACCAGCAATCACCTTGTAAATTCATCATGATTATCAAAACCATCCACTTCAGGAACTTTTGAATTTGGACAATGTGTCAATTTTCCTGTGTCGTCTTCACTATCATCATTGTCCTCAGAGGATACTTCTTGAGCCGAACGTCTATGCTCCTTTGGTGAAGACCTGATAATAATTGGCATTAATGTTATGGTTGAAGTCTTATTATAAAAATCAATATACCTTTATGTCTTCAAATGGCAGTGAAAGCTACCTACTTGTCCCAAAATCCCTGAATTCCAGTCCTTGCTGCACTCAAAGAAGCTTGTAATGATGCAAATAATCCTGATTTCCTGAGACAATGCATGAAAAGATATGCAGTTAAATCATTCATTCATTACATTGCCTCTGGAAGAGAACCTTGTTGTTGGGCTAAAATTGTATGTTTCTGATTGATTGACCTTGTTTTCAAGGAAGCAATATAAGCTCAGCTGTAGCAAGACTATCCCCATAATTTTTTTTCCAGTCACCTGACAAACCCAATATCTGAGATTTGTAAGCATCGTATGAAATGGCTATGCCTAAGATCGCCCTCAAAAGGACCCCTCAAGGCAAGTGGTACAGAGAAAGGACAAAGACCGCCTGGTGGAGAACTGCGACAGCAGACCTCAAAGAGTTTGGCTTAGTCTGGGTGGAGGCTGAAAAGATCACCAGGGACTGCAAGAAGTGGAGAAGTTAAATGCTGTGATGGCCTTATATCCCGGCTGGGATGATGAGTACGAGTGCCTGACCAACCCAGTTGTTTTGAAAAAGTCAAAAAAGTTTTTGATTCATTGCCTGCTCCCATTTTTAGGGTGTTCCAAAGTTTAAGGGACTTCAAGGGACTCTGACATCTAAATCAGCCCTCATACACTGTAATAATGACATCAAACAGTGCTTGTGGCTCCAGTGCAAAATGGCAGACACAGGAAGATTTTTTTGAACCAAGAGACAGAGAGCAACGGGAAACAAAACAGATTTTTGGTAATGGCCTTATTCCATTTTCAGAAATTTGGGCTTGTTCATAGTACATAGCTAGCTAAATAGTTACTAAACTAAAAACTACATCAATATTAATAATAGTCATGTGATCTAATTCAAACAATATCTTTTTCCGTATTCAGTCGATTCATTGATCAAATTTATTGATTAAAAACAAACAAATTATTTTTCTCCATGCATCTGGAATGAGTTAAAAACCTCCCCCATTAAATTAAATCTAAGAGGTTTGACATTGTTGCCATGCATTCCCCTTAAGGGCCAAAGAAAGTTGTTGTACTTCCGCCTGGGGTAGATTTACATCATTCTGTAAACAAGTGGCAGGGTTACTCTACCAGTTTAAAGCTGGAGTAAAACATTGGAGTCCAGACATATCCCAAATGGTACTTCCTGTTCAGATTGTGATTTTTAATTGTGAGTTATTTGAATGCTAATGTCTTACCTTTCTACTTTGTCCTTGGGTTTATTTTCCTTGTTTAACTTCTGATTTTCTCTTGGCTCCTCATCATGATCGGATTCTTGACTTTCAGTTCTTTGAGGCAGCAATTTCCGCTCCTCTGTCTTAGCCTGGAACATTAAAAGATTGAAATCATTTGAAATCATTTTCATATTCTACTGGCTGCTTGCAACTGCTATGTCCACCAATGAGTAGAAAGTGAGTACCATGAGCAAACTGATAAAAATATTTTGAGCAGTAACCTGTGATGGGCTAGTGTGCATGTTACTTTAGGCTTCAGAACCAGAGTTTATTGTTTATCTTTTCAACCAGTAGGCCCTGCAAAGGCTCTACTTTTATGACAGTTTTCTTTTCAATTCAAGCCACAAGGCTAGAAGGAAAAAAGCGACTTAAAGCTCTGGAGAAGTATGATGTATATCGCACCCCACTAATTTAAACTTAGTTACTTTGAATTCCCAGTTATTTTGAACCAAAAACTATTTCCCTTGGATTTGCCCTTCAATCATTTACTATTGGCTATTTGAACTCCCGCTATTTCAAACTATTTTTTTTTTTCAACTGAGAGTTCAAAATAACAAGGATCAACAGCACTTTGCCAAAGTATAACTTTAGGACAAATTGAAGTGAAACCATTTGAAACCCAAGGGCTGTAAAAAGATTTAAAAACAAGCCATTTCATGAAAAATCAAAGGAAATCTCTCAGAAAAGTTCACATAAATTTTTATGTTATGGGAAAAAGAAAAATGTTTCCACCATTCTCGCATTTCTTGTATTTTTGTGTGTGTGCATGTCCACCATATGCAAACAGCTTTGAATTTTAGCATGCCCTATAAATTAGAGTATAAAGTGTGGAATTGACTCCAATTTTGATGCATGCAGCAGTTTTGAAATTCAAGACTCTGAGATAGGCTTAAATTGTGAGATTCCAAAATTCAAAGAATTCAAAACTCAGAAAAAAAATTCGCCGGACTTTCCACTTTCTCCAGTGTGTAGAGAAGGTCTTGTCCAATAGCCTGGGGCAGGTGGATTTTGTGGTAGCTGCAAGTGGATCTTAGGCCAGTGAAATTTTTTGGGACAAATTTTGAGAAAATTCAAGGTACAGATAGAAGTACTGTATGAAATCAAATAACTGTTTTAATATTATTTTTTTAACATTTTTTAATTAATAATTTTTAGTTTTTATTAATGCTGCCAGTTAGAAAATTTGTGGCGATGAGTGAAAACGACTGCCGCGCTAGTACTACTTACAGTGTACCTAAAGGGCAAGCTGGAAAACTGGGTTTCTTTTCAACCTGTTTCTATGGACTTTTATTTACCCATCATATATATTGATTTATGGTTCCGCTTTTTTACCACATTCGGTCAAGACAGCATACAAAACATGAACCCTTAGAGACATATTTTATTTTCCTCATTTGCAGGTATGATCTGTATGCTTTTCGGATGATGCAGGATGTATTTCAGAAACTTAAAGCCAAATTACTAAAAAATGACATAATATTGGAATAATAAATCCCTTATTTGATGGTTTAACATGCATTTTATCTATAATATGCCCAAACATTTTACACATTGCTCATATTTTCTTCACCCCCTTAGTGTTCAGAAAAATATTATGCAACTTGCAAAATATCTACCCATAATTATAAATTAAATAAACCATTGACAGAATAAAGTGTATATTTCCAATGGAATAGCTCATGTTGCATGAACATTAAAATGAAAGCTTTTATAAAACTATATATGAAAACTGTGTAGAATATTCTTGCTGGAATATTTTTACAAGTAAAATTTCAATAATAATGATACTGGAAATGACAGGGTCAATAGTTTCTCAAAATCAATGGATACAAACCAGAACTAAAATTATAGTACTTAGCATTGCATTACTGGCTACCTAAAAGAAATCAAAAATTATACTTGTCTGGTAAGAAATCACACCAGTTTAGTTCTTAATTTTAAAGGTCTTCACTCAACATTATTTGGGGATTTTGGAAAGACTGATTTTTAATCCTAGAAGACTAAAGAGGCAATAATCACTTACGAAAATCACTTTTATCCAAAGGATTAGATGTATGCTATGAAAATTGGTCAGAACAATATTACAGATATCCATTAACATAAAACAAAACAAGATACTTATAGGTCTACAATTAAAAGAATATAAAAAATTATAATCATGCTACATTGCAGCTGAAAGATATAGTTAACTGTGAAGTTGCTATATTCATCTTTCAACTTCACCATGCTTAAAATCACACTTCACACTCTACAACATGTACGTTTACATTCAATACTGAATATGTAATCATAGAATATTCATACCATTTCTGAGCAAAATTTTCTTAGCAAGAAAATATGGGGCTTTAAAAAACAACAACAACAACAAAAAACAAACTTAAAGGACTAAAGTAGAAACTATACACGTAAACCAAAAGGGTACCCACTATAAAAGAAAGCAAAATGGTTGATTTGAACCTACCAGCCGTGATGACATTGTCTCTGAAATGGAGAATCCAAGGGCTGATGACTTATGATTTAAATTCTCACTCAATTAGATTTTTCATATGTCAAGCCACGATAAAATCCTATCAGAAATTCCCAATAGCTTTACTTGAGTGGGTCTTTTAATCTCGAAAATTTTAATTGCAGAATCTGTTTCGATGTACACTGGGCACATTGTCCATCTGGTCATAACATTAGGATTGTTATTCAAGCTGATACATAAATTACTGTTCAGCAAACAAATATCCCTTTTTGCAATGACCTGACCTGCCTGAATTTTGAATTCTAGGTATGGAAATTTTGTCAGCTACCAAGAAACATATTCAGCAGCTCACACAATATTTGTTTAAAGGTTATAATGATTTTAATGGCAAACAGACAGACCAATCAAATTGTGGCAAACCTTCCATTGTCATTTGACCAAATGTCAATAAATTGGTTTTATAAATTTACATGAGTCTACTAAAAGTGATGTCTAAAATTTAAATAACATATGCTTGTGAATTTTATGGTCTTCAGGTAATATCGTAAAATAACAGGAACAAAGCTGAGTTCATTTAAACCGAAATTATTTTTGTGGACCAGATCTCTCATACATATAAAATTATGTAGTGTCACATCACAGTACAACTATTATTTCATGCCATCAAATAAGCAGATTTTGGTTTTACTGCTAACCCATAAACTCAGTGCCCGCACAATTACTATTAATTGCTCCTGACCAACACAGAAATATTAAAGCCGAAAATTTAAAATTTAAAAAAAACTCCATTATGTGAAAAATGTCACTGTTCTACTTAATAAATATATCTGCTCCAGTGCCTGTCAAACATTTTAAACAAAATTTTAAGCCATGTAAAGTAAATACAAACTACTCTTTGACACTGGATTAAACAAAGCTACTTATTTATATTTCAATACTTCAGTTTTAGAAATATGACCCTAATAAATTATTCATGTTTGAGTTTATAACTTCTGAATACAAATTCATTCATATCAGTGTTGTAGATAAAAACTAGGCAACAATGAACATATTTATCAAATGACTCCTTTATCAAAACAGCCAAGCGAAAAATGAAATTTCCAATTGTACAACTACATCATAATATTATTACACCTCAGGCCTCTTTCAAAATGTGTTTAACATACATGTATGCATGTAGAGTTCTGTACATTAAATTATTAATTGTAAATTTCATATTACATGTATGTGATTCTGACAGAAAAGGTTACTTGATTGATATTCCTCAAAATTAAATAAATATTTTTTTTTTCAGTACAATGTCAGGTAACACTGATGGGGTGGAATTAAGAGTTTTAAAACAAAAATTGAGTATTCATAAGCCCAGTCGAGAAGAAAACATGGAAATCTCATTCCTGATCAATTTGTCATGGACACTCTCAGTTATCATCTCGACAAAAATAAACAGGAAAGTACATCAGGTAACCAGTACAGTGGCGTAACTTAGACATAAAAATAAAAGCAAACACTCAGCCCTTGAGCAGGGCTTCCATCTATGTCATCTACTGGTGTTTGTTATTTTTATTACTTGTTTTATTATTCTCCAAAATGAATTATGCTGACTTTCTTTAATTTCAAACTTGTGAAGAGAATGAATTGTTCAGTAAAGAAGATAGTAGAATGTTGACATGATAGCATATATTTCTTAAACATTTCTGAAAAATCCCAAAATATGCAACATGGTGTTGGCTAACAGAGGTATTAGCCTTGTAATGTTATTTTCATGCCATGAGCATAAAGTACCTTTTTCTCTTTCAGTGATCCAAACTATAATTTGTTCAAGCAGAAAATCTGATACCCAAATTTCATGACAGATATTAATGGTTTTACAGAGAAAATATTGATTTAGTATATAACAGCTAAATTATTATCTGGGCCAAAGAATTCATCCTGGACATGTGCATAAGTTTTCTACTCATATTCGACTGAATCATAAGCAAAGGAGTTGAGTGGTGCATGAATGAGCATGAGAACAGGAACATACAAAAGGAATATTACAATGAGAAATAACCACCTCTGTTGTTACATTTTCATGATTGAACAAAGCATTTTCAAAGGAAACCTTCCCACAAGAGGTGTGAGCTCACCTTTGTTTTGTTTTGTTTTGTTTTGTTTTTTCACTGTATCATTGCAGAAAGAATTGTTCAGGTTCCCCAAATGTCCTAGTGAAGATCTAAATTAAGATCCTTGAGATATTGGGTGCTTACCATTTACATGAAAAAATTCCGAAATTCCAGTTGGAAAATCAAATGGTTCGCACCCTTCCGTTTGGGAAGCTTTGGAAAGTATGGGCTGTGATTTTAGGTGATGCTATTTTTCTGCTCTTTTAAGACTCTCTAGCTGATGTGGATATACTTCATAGCGATTCCCTCTCCCGCAACGTCACATTTAATTGTTTAATGTTTATGCCTGAAATTTCCACCCGGATAGTTTTTGTAAATGGTAAGCACCCATTGTTTATTACCAGGGTCCTACTTCCCCTTTGTGAAGTCTTAGCCTATTACAACAAATATCAGTTTGTTAGCAACTTTTAAATCTTAGGCAGAGAGACCCAATGAGAGTAATGTGTCCACTGAAGTCCAACAGCACAACACTGTTAATAAGTCTGGAAAACTACATGCTAACCTCAAGCTCACCATATCTTCCATGAGACAGCATACATATAATTATGTGGTTTATACAGTTAAACCCCACTAACTTAAATTCAAGGGACTCAAAGAAGAGGTCGAGATGAAGTGGGCTCAAGATAGCCAATAGTAAGTGACTGGAAAAATAGATCCAAGAGAAATTTTCTTTGAGTTCCAGTTATCAGGGAATTTGAGATAACGGAGTTTAAAGCAGTGAGGTTCTACTGTAATTTCAGTGCCCATACCGTCAATTTGCTGTGCTGATGTTTAATCAAGAGCAGTTCATGTTTGAATTTTTTGTCCATTTCAGCCATCTTTGCATTAAACCTCTCAAGCTGCAAAACAAATATATTTTCTTTACGTCTAACACTGACAAGTTTATTTTTCTACTTAATATACAAATGCACTTACAGTAAGTCATATTTTTAAACACTTTGTTTGCATTAGAACTTACATAACACAGGTTGATGGTTTGTAACAAAAAGTATTTGGTTTCCATACGAATGTTTGCATTGATTGAGGGATTCATAAGTTTTTCACAATATTTGATTTACAATAATCTGAGCAAGGTTACTGAATATTATTGCATGTTTAACAGTTTCAAAAGACAAAGTAATATAATACATTACGTAATATAATATTATATAATTATTGTATTAAGGGAGATGAGATTCTCTACAGTTCAACAAAGTTTTTAAAAAAACCAAAACATTAATTTCTCCATTACTTTATGTAACTAAATGCACATTCATATTTATTTATTACTCTGCAATGTATTATTTACGTCAGAAAAGTTTTTTTTCTGTGCATTCATAGAGGGGCCTTATCCAGACATGTGAAAGGCTCCAATTTTGACAAATGTCACGCTGCAAGTGATGTATTTTCTTGTACATATTTGTAACAACTAGGACATTTCTTGGCTTGCCAGCTGTACGTCAAATCTCTTCTTGTTTGGAAGGGTGTTTTACTATGTGGCAAGTCAAAAGAATGTCAAGAATATGAACAGTGTATACTAAGTAAAACTTTGTAAGGTATTATTTATGTCAGACATGAGATCCATGAGTTGGCATGTCTATACCAACTCTCCTGGATTATCCAGGAGTCTCCTAGCCTGTGAACAGTCTCCTGGATACAGACCGAATCTCATGATCTCCCATATGGGTCACCAATTCTCACAGATACAAACAGAAATGCTTCACATAGATTTTCACACTTATTTGAAGAAATGTTTGGAGTGTTTGCTTAGGTTTGAGAAGGTAAAAATTATCCATCTCCTGGATTTCAATTTTTTTTAGTTGGGCATCTCTGGTGACATCACTTGAATGCTTCACTCGTACTTGAACCAAAATGAGTTACTACTACGTAACTACTAAAGGTGGTAACTTTTCTCAGTTTGTGAATCAACTACAAACTGAAAAAATTATATTATGGTATTTCAATCAACACATGCACAAGTTAAAATCAATGTGTACCTCAAATTCACTAGAAAACACCAGCCCACTTGAAGAAACGTAAAATCCATTCTTTAGCTTGCCAAAACCACTATATATAGGATCCGGCTTGTTGTGAATTTTCTTGCTTTGGTCATCTGAAACATCTAACAAAGAACATTTTGTGCTTGTGGCAGTTGCTGCTTCACTTTTCTCCAGTGTACATGATGAATCTGTCTTTAAGGAAAATAAATGAAGAAAGTTCCTTCTCCATTTTTCCTGACTCAGTTCAATAGTTTTCTTTTGAAAGAAACTATGTAACAGTGCTTTCCATGTACAAAGACTTTCTTCCCTTGCAGAATCTCTGCTACTGCACCCAAGCTTAGTATTTACTTCATATTGGGAAGCGCACATTTCCTTGTCAAAAAGAATTGATGCCAAACAAGGCACACTAAAAACTGTTTCCTGCGATGGTGGTTCTTTGCATTCTGTTTCTTTTTCATGCTCCTGATCTGGGAAAACACAATCAATCATTGATTTAATAGCAATGTGGTCAGCACTTGTCCCAACTGCATATAGTTGATGGTATTGTTTGAATGAAGCCCATTGTAGTTTTGGCTGTGAGAAAATAGAAACAAAATAAATGAGTCCTGCTCCACATGGTCAGTAAATACGTTTTGCCTTTGCCTCCAATGCTATCAGGTGAAAGTGAATTATGGGTACCTCTTAGCCCTACAGATATGATGTTACAGATTACTATTTTGCAGGACAGGTCACAGCCAAACTGTCATAAACTCCACGGCAAGTATTTTCCATAACAATGTAATTCTTTTGGGATATGTGTACAAAGCAGAATTAGTAGATATGCAAGGTCTAGACAAGATAGACAAGGCTTTTCGGATCATGCGTAATTTGTGCACCCCTCGACCGATATATCAGTCGACATATCGACCGACACTCGACCAATGTATCGGTTGACATATCAACCAACACTCGACCGATGTATCGGTCGACATATCGACCGATATATCGGCCGAGATATCCATCAAGTGTCAGTTGACACATTGTCCGACTATCGGCTGATATCTCGGTCTATATAGCGGCCGACACTCGGCCGATAAGTTGACCATTGACACTCGGTGGAATATCAGTCAACTGTTGGTGGTATATTGGTCAACTGTCATATAATATAAGTCAAAAGCTTAGACTGCCAGTGTCAGATTATAAGTTATGTGCATTTCATCCTTTTTTGGTCAACCTTAAAAATTTCTGAAGGCTATATGTTCGAATCATTCAGCCGTTGTCAAGCAAGACACCCAAGTGAAATACTGCCAAATACACAAAATACAGTTGACAGGAAAGAGGATAAGGATGATGAAGGATAACAAGGTGCTGCAACAGAACTGATAAAAGACAAGCAAGTCTTGAATTTGCCCATGCATAGGGATTAATTAGGCTAAATTATTTAGGAATAAATTAAGGCGGAAAACATGAACACTTCTGGAAATGATGTTAAAGGCTACCACTAGTGGCTGCCTATGCCATTACTAACCTAGGTTAAATTACGTCTGCGACACAGGCTACAGTCACCAGTAGCTAAGTACCAGTGAAGTATCAGCGGAATGTCAGTAGCCTATCAATCAATATCAGTCGATATATCAGCCAAGTGTTATGTTGACCGACATATCGGTCGAGTGTCGGTCGATATATATCGCCCGATACCTCGGTCGACTGTCGGTCGATATGTAGACCAATATATTGGTTGAGGGGTGCACAAAATACACATGATCCGGCCTTTCAGTATCTTGCATTTTTCATTTTCTTACTCCCTCACTTTCTTTTGCAGTTTTGTTAGCTTTTCTGTCACCTTTGTTTACATTGGACAGTGAATATGGTATTTTCAACATAAAATCTCAATAGTTCAGAAGACCTCAAAAGGATAAAAGCCTTATTCCATTTTGAGAGGACGAACCCGTGTATTAGCCGGTTTAGGAGCTAATAGTGTCTAAAGTTGACACGAGATGACCTTGAAAAAGACATTTCTTTTGTTCTCAAACACTGCCAGAACACAGTCCAACGATTCATTCATATCCCTTGATCTCCACGAGAGAAAAACATTGTGGGTGAGGCCGAGCGCGGATCGACCTAATAATTATCCGCCCCTCCTCTCATAGCTCATGTCACTATTGCATCTATACGCCAGCTTTTGATGTTTGTTTGTCATAAAAAGTTTATTCAAGTGCCTAGTCTTACCCGTCAATTTGTGCCCTCGATTTTCTGTCCGCTTAGTATTTGACATATTAATAATAAATACGAAGTAGTACGAAAGAGATGTAGGTCAATAAATACAGAAACAAACGGTAATTAACGTAATAATTACTGAAACGAATCAATTTTCCAGGGCCGCAATCAGATGTCATGCATGCCATTATGTTTTAGTAAATGTACTTACTTCTTCGTGTTTGTCATCACCGTCAAACTCATTTTCTCCGTCGATGATGCTCATTTAAGCCCTCGTACCGTTTTGTTTGCAGGTCTGCTACATCCTGTCTTTCTGGAGACACTATTGTATTCCTTATAAAACCAAAATTAACTCCGGTCACTCTCGACCGAGTTCACTCACGTTCCTCTCGAAGATTGTCACATTCGCTTCTTGCGTCTGCAGTTGGCATTTTCTTTCCCAGCGGCCTCACAAAAATGTGAGTCCGCAAAGACTGACGGGTACTAGTGACCGGTCGCCATTTTGAGATTGCAGCGAAAGAGGAACTTGAAGAAATGCTTCGTTGTGCCGCCCGACGATTGGTATCTCCCTCCTTAAGAGGAGCTTATTCCATGTTGGGTATGTTTTGGCTTCCTTTTTCTGATATTCTTGGGCAATTAACTATTGTTTTAAAGGCTTGGAGTGACCTTTTCGTCAAACGTCTCGTTGCCCGAGCTTACGCGTACGAGTGCATGATAGGATATATATGAGACTAAATTGAAGATATAAGCTTAAGTTCATTGATCTTTCGTCGATAAGTACCATTCGTGAAAATTTTACTAGTTCCTTTCCGTTGAATCGAGCGTTTGGGAAAAAAACATCAGAAATTAACGTGTGTTATATGCATTTGATTGTAGAAACAGGGATTATATTGATTCATGATAATGCGAAAAATTAGATAAGCTTAAGCTTTAACACTACAACATCTACTCATGTGCACATTATCATCAACATGTACACCAATCGGTCACTTTGTGGATTCGTATTATACCCGTAGATGGTGAAGAATGCAAAGTGAATATATGAAATTTATTAAATTTGAACTGCGGAGAAAATGTAAATACGTGAATGGTACTTGTAGTTCTTTACCCAACTCAGCACTTGTGAAAGTTATGATGTAACAATAACTGAGATAATGAGCAGAAACATAGCCACATGTGAGAAGAAATCCTTCTGCAGGCCTGAATTACTTTATTTCAATGTTGTATAAAAATCACAACCAATCCTGGATACAAGACAGGTCTCTGTGGAGTTATGCACCTATCGATGTTAAGCCGCTTGGGGGGGGGGGGGGNNNNGTACGATCACTTTTCACTAGTGAATAACATCGTTTGTCCAATCAGACGCCGCGAACGATGATTTTTCACCAGTGAAATTTCATCGTTCGCGTCGCTGATCGGCTGCGACTAAAAACAGAACGATTTTCTCGTCACTGTAATCTCTGTGGATAAATCTCAGTACTTATAAAATAAAAAGGAATCTTTGGCATAAAATTAGGTCTTTTTGAAAAAAACATATCAGCGCTTGAAAGGTTAATGAACATTAGCTTGCATTGCACTGAAAACTGTAAATTCCGCCTGTTGTCAGTATCTGTATGTTTCTGTGTCCTGCATGGTAAAAATCCCCATGACAAGACTCAACCAGGTCAGGTTTCATTCAGGTACGTAGTCATGTGCAAATCTTCAAATTTTGATCACTTTTAGCAATGGTAAACATCTCAGAAAACGGCTTTTGCGAAATTAGGAAACGGGATTCGCTGATCATGAAGACACATCTTGCTTGCCGACACTGAGAAGAGTAAAGAGGGTGTAAAACTTTGTGTAAAACTTTGTGTAATTGATTGCATTTCTGGCTCTTTCTATGACGTTGAAATAATTTGTGGTTTTGACCCTGGGATTCAGTGAAATTTGGACTGGCGACTGAAATTGTCGCAGGAACTTCATCGCACATATCAGGAAATGCAAAAGCAAGCCAAATAAGCAGTTATGGTGGAGAGACTGATTAGACCCCGCCAGGAGACAGAAAACACCAAGAGAACTTTTACTTTCTCTGGCCATTTTATTCTATCCATTTACTTTGACACTTTTGCCTTTATATTGTAATGTACATTGCTAAGTTAACTAAAATTAAAAAAAAAAAAAAGAATCACAAAGGAGTAACTTATGAAGCGAACTTCTTAATTCTGGAAATTAGTTTCCTTGTGTAAATCTGTAGAGATATATTGCGCACGCTCTATTTTTATAAAATAACTGAGCTACTACGCGCGCTCTCATTGGTCGATAGATGTGTTTAGATGAGAGTATGTAAACACAGTAGTGACGTTTTAGATCCCCGACAGGAGCCGGAGACCGTGGGTACTTACCATTTACCTGGGAAAGCCGGAAATTCCGGTTGGAAAATCAAATGGTTCACACCCTTCCGTTTGGGAAGCTTTGGAAAGTATGGGCTGTGATTTTAGGTGATGCTATTTTTCTGCTCTTTTAAGACTCTCTAGCTGATGTGGATATACTTCATAGCGATTCCCTCTCCCGCAACGTCACATTTAATTGTTTAATGTTTATGCCTGAAATTTCCACCCGGATAGTTTTTGTAAATGGTAAGCACCCATTGTTTATTACCAGGGTCCTACTTCCCCTTTGTGAAGTCTTAGCCTATTACAACAAATATCAGTTTGTTAGCAACTTTTAAATCTTAGGCAGAGAGACCCAATGAGAGTAATGTGTCCACTGAAGTCCAACAGCACAACACTGTTAATAAGTCTGGAAAACTACATGCTAACCTCAAGCTCACCATATCTTCCATGAGACAGCATACATATAATTATGTGGTTTATACAGTTAAACCCCACTAACTTAAATTCAAGGGACTCAAAGAAGAGGTCGAGATGAAGTGGGCTCAAGATAGCCAATAGTAAGTGACTGGAAAAATAGATCCAAGAGAAATTTTCTTTGAGTTCCAGTTATCAGGGAATTTGAGATAACGGAGTTTAAAGCAGTGAGGTTCTACTGTAATTTCAGTGCCCATACCGTCAATTTGCTGTGCTGATGTTTAATCAAGAGCAGTTCATGTTTGAATTTTTTGTCCATTTCAGCCATCTTTGCATTAAACCTCTCAAGCTGCAAAACAAATATATTTTCTTTACGTCTAACACTGACAAGTTTATTTTTCTACTTAATATACAAATGCACTTACAGTAAGTCATATTTTTAAACACTTTGTTTGCATTAGAACTTACATAACACAGGTTGATGGTTTGTAACAAAAAGTATTTGGTTTCCATACGAATGTTTGCATTGATTGAGGGATTCATAAGTTTTTCACAATATTTGATTTACAATAATCTGAGCAAGGTTACTGAATATTATTGCATGTTTAACAGTTTCAAAAGACAAAGTAATATAATACATTACGTAATATAATATTATATAATTATTGTATTAAGGGAGATGAGATTCTCTACAGTTCAACAAAGTTTTTAAAAAAACCAAAACATTAATTTCTCCATTACTTTATGTAACTAAATGCACATTCATATTTATTTATTACTCTGCAATGTATTATTTACGTCAGAAAAGTTTTTTTTCTGTGCATTCATAGAGGGGCCTTATCCAGACATGTGAAAGGCTCCAATTTTGACAAATGTCACGCTGCAAGTGATGTATTTTCTTGTACATATTTGTAACAACTAGGACATTTCTTGGCTTGCCAGCTGTACGTCAAATCTCTTCTTGTTTGGAAGGGTGTTTTACTATGTGGCAAGTCAAAAGAATGTCAAGAATATGAACAGTGTATACTAAGTAAAACTTTGTAAGGTATTATTTATGTCAGACATGAGATCCATGAGTTGGCATGTCTATACCAACTCTCCTGGATTATCCAGGAGTCTCCTAGCCTGTGAACAGTCTCCTGGATACAGACCGAATCTCATGATCTCCCATATGGGTCACCAATTCTCACAGATACAAACAGAAATGCTTCACATAGATTTTCACACTTATTTGAAGAAATGTTTGGAGTGTTTGCTTAGGTTTGAGAAGGTAAAAATTATCCATCTCCTGGATTTCAATTTTTTTTAGTTGGGCATCTCTGGTGACATCACTTGAATGCTTCACTCGTACTTGAACCAAAATGAGTTACTACTACGTAACTACTAAAGGTGGTAACTTTTCTCAGTTTGTGAATCAACTACAAACTGAAAAAATTATATTATGGTATTTCAATCAACACATGCACAAGTTAAAATCAATGTGTACCTCAAATTCACTAGAAAACACCAGCCCACTTGAAGAAACGTAAAATCCATTCTTTAGCTTGCCAAAACCACTATATATAGGATCCGGCTTGTTGTGAATTTTCTTGCTTTGGTCATCTGAAACATCTAACAAAGAACATTTTGTGCTTGTGGCAGTTGCTGCTTCACTTTTCTCCAGTGTACATGATGAATCTGTCTTTAAGGAAAATAAATGAAGAAAGTTCCTTCTCCATTTTTCCTGACTCAGTTCAATAGTTTTCTTTTGAAAGAAACTATGTAACAGTGCTTTCCATGTACAAAGACTTTCTTCCCTTGCAGAATCTCTGCTACTGCACCCAAGCTTAGTATTTACTTCATATTGGGAAGCGCACATTTCCTTGTCAAAAAGAATTGATGCCAAACAAGGCACACTAAAAACTGTTTCCTGCGATGGTGGTTCTTTGCATTCTGTTTCTTTTTCATGCTCCTGATCTGGGAAAACACAATCAATCATTGATTTAATAGCAATGTGGTCAGCACTTGTCCCAACTGCATATAGTTGATGGTATTGTTTGAATGAAGCCCATTGTAGTTTTGGCTGTGAGAAAATAGAAACAAAATAAATGAGTCCTGCTCCACATGGTCAGTAAATACGTTTTGCCTTTGCCTCCAATGCTATCAGGTGAAAGTGAATTATGGGTACCTCTTAGCCCTACAGATATGATGTTACAGATTACTATTTTGCAGGACAGGTCACAGCCAAACTGTCATAAACTCCACGGCAAGTATTTTCCATAACAATGTAATTCTTTTGGGATATGTGTACAAAGCAGAATTAGTAGATATGCAAGGTCTAGACAAGATAGACAAGGCTTTTCGGATCATGCGTAATTTGTGCACCCCTCGACCGATATATCAGTCGACATATCGACCGACACTCGACCAATGTATCGGTTGACATATCAACCAACACTCGACCGATGTATCGGTCGACATATCGACCGATATATCGGCCGAGATATCCATCAAGTGTCAGTTGACACATTGTCCGACTATCGGCTGATATCTCGGTCTATATAGCGGCCGACACTCGGCCGATAAGTTGACCATTGACACTCGGTGGAATATCAGTCAACTGTTGGTGGTATATTGGTCAACTGTCATATAATATAAGTCAAAAGCTTAGACTGCCAGTGTCAGATTATAAGTTATGTGCATTTCATCCTTTTTTGGTCAACCTTAAAAATTTCTGAAGGCTATATGTTCGAATCATTCAGCCGTTGTCAAGCAAGACACCCAAGTGAAATACTGCCAAATACACAAAATACAGTTGACAGGAAAGAGGATAAGGATGATGAAGGATAACAAGGTGCTGCAACAGAACTGATAAAAGACAAGCAAGTCTTGAATTTGCCCATGCATAGGGATTAATTAGGCTAAATTATTTAGGAATAAATTAAGGCGGAAAACATGAACACTTCTGGAAATGATGTTAAAGGCTACCACTAGTGGCTGCCTATGCCATTACTAACCTAGGTTAAATTACGTCTGCGACACAGGCTACAGTCACCAGTAGCTAAGTACCAGTGAAGTATCAGCGGAATGTCAGTAGCCTATCAATCAATATCAGTCGATATATCAGCCAAGTGTTATGTTGACCGACATATCGGTCGAGTGTCGGTCGATATATATCGCCCGATACCTCGGTCGACTGTCGGTCGATATGTAGACCAATATATTGGTTGAGGGGTGCACAAAATACACATGATCCGGCCTTTCAGTATCTTGCATTTTTCATTTTCTTACTCCCTCACTTTCTTTTGCAGTTTTGTTAGCTTTTCTGTCACCTTTGTTTACATTGGACAGTGAATATGGTATTTTCAACATAAAATCTCAATAGTTCAGAAGACCTCAAAAGGATAAAAGCCTTATTCCATTTTGAGAGGACGAACCCGTGTATTAGCCGGTTTAGGAGCTAATAGTGTCTAAAGTTGACACGAGATGACCTTGAAAAAGACATTTCTTTTGTTCTCAAACACTGCCAGAACACAGTCCAACGATTCATTCATATCCCTTGATCTCCACGAGAGAAAAACATTGTGGGTGAGGCCGAGCGCGGATCGACCTAATAATTATCCGCCCCTCCTCTCATAGCTCATGTCACTATTGCATCTATACGCCAGCTTTTGATGTTTGTTTGTCATAAAAAGTTTATTCAAGTGCCTAGTCTTACCCGTCAATTTGTGCCCTCGATTTTCTGTCCGCTTAGTATTTGACATATTAATAATAAATACGAAGTAGTACGAAAGAGATGTAGGTCAATAAATACAGAAACAAACGGTAATTAACGTAATAATTACTGAAACGAATCAATTTTCCAGGGCCGCAATCAGATGTCATGCATGCCATTATGTTTTAGTAAATGTACTTACTTCTTCGTGTTTGTCATCACCGTCAAACTCATGTTCTCCGTCGATGATGCTCATTTAAGCCCTCGTACCGTTTTGTTTGCAGGTCTGCTACATCCTGTCTTTCTGGAGACACTATTGTATTCCTTATAAAACCAAAATTAACTCCGGTCACTCTCGACCGAGTTCACTCACGTTCCTCTCGAAGATTGTCACATTCGCTTCTTGCGTCTGCAGTTGGCATTTTCTTTCCCAGCGGCCTCACAAAAATGTGAGTCCGCAAAGACTGACGGGTACTAGTGACCGGTCGCCATTTTGAGATTGCAGCGAAAGAGGAACTTGAAGAAATGCTTCGTTGTGCCGCCCGACGATTGGTATCTCCCTCCTTAAGAGGAGCTTATTCCATGTTGGGTATGTTTTGGCTTCCTTTTTCTGATATTCTTGGGCAATTAACTATTGTTTTAAAGGCTTGGAGTGACCTTTTCGTCAAACGTCTCGTTGCCCGAGCTTACGCGTACGAGTGCATGATAGGATATATATGAGACTAAATTGAAGATATAAGCTTAAGTTCATTGATCTTTCGTCGATAAGTACCATTCGTGAAAATTTTACTAGTTCCTTTCCGTTGAATCGAGCGTTTGGGAAAAAAACATCAGAAATTAACGTGTGTTATATGCATTTGATTGTAGAAACAGGGATTATATTGATTCATGATAATGCGAAAAATTAGATAAGCTTAAGCTTTAACACTACAACATCTACTCATGTGCACATTATCATCAACATGTACACCAATCGGTCACTTTGTGGATTCGTATTATACCCGTAGATGGTGAAGAATGCAAAGTGAATATATGAAATTTATTAAATTTGAACTGCGGAGAAAATGTAAATACGTGAATGGTACTTGTAGTTCTTTACCCAACTCAGCACTTGTGAAAGTTATGATGTAACAATAACTGAGATAATGAGCAGAAACATAGCCACATGTGAGAAGAAATCCTTCTGCAGGCCTGAATTACTTTATTTCAATGTTGTATAAAAATCACAACCAATCCTGGATACAAGACAGGTCTCTGTGGAGTTATGCACCTATCGATGTTAAGCCGCTTGGGGGGGGGACTGTAAAATGTTTCATAATTTCAGTTCATTTGAGCTTAAATTAAAAACAGTCTTACGTTATGTAGGATTCAGAAATCTGTTTCCATACACAACTTTCAAAATACAAATCAATGATGTTAAGCAATGGAGTTAACCTTTAACTAAGGAAAAACCAAGATCTGTAACAAAGGCCTTGTTTACAGAATATCTGTAACAATGTTCAGTTCAACACCAAACTAGCCAGCGATCTGGGACATTGTTTTCTTTCAATTCTGTACAGTTTGTTTCCAGTAATTCTTGGTCATCCAAGATGGTGTCAGTAGAGCCCAGTCTACCAACGGTTGAAGTCAAAAGTTCTGACCCCCAGGACTCGGCGAATGATCAAAAGTCCCAACCATGTGCAGACTTGATATGTCAAAACCCCCGCCTATGCCCAGCCACCCCCCCAGCGGCTTAACATTGATAGGTGCATAATTTACTTTCACGCCATCAGTATCTAGAATTTTCCAGTTCCAATTTCAGGCATTTCATGAGTAGGAAAAGAATTGAGTCTTCTAAGAGAAGTGTCTGTACATTCAAGCTAGACAAGTTGGGTTTGGCAATAAACTTGGAAATTAGAACAAATTGTGGGCAAAAAATAGATTGTACATTTGGTACAGATGAAAAAATTTCTGTTGTGGGTTTGCTGCAACAGGTCAAATCCAAAAGATGTAAGTGAAAATTGTCTTATCTAAATGTGAAATATCATTTATTTTGGATGGAGTGGTTTCTATTACATTAATTGCATTAAATGGAACCACTGTTTAACCTATTGACTCCTGTGCCGGCCGTAACCGGCCGTGCGAAAACCCACCCCCAATTTCCTGTGCCGGCCGGAAACGGCCATAAAAAAAGCACATGAGGAGAATTGCCTTTCCTACCCTCCCTGAAAACGTTTTGGTTCTCCTATTATTCTACTGTTGTTAAGGACAAATAAACCAATGAGAATCGACTTTCTGCGCATATTTTTAGAGGACTTTAGGGGTCCTAGAAAGACAGTTTTTCATCTTAAAATCATGCGCTCGAAAAGTGTAAGTAATGATGGCGTATTGCGGGCCAAATCTACAAACTTCCAGGGTCTTGTTTTCATACCTAAAATGGAGAAATTACTTCTTTGGCACTAAAAATAGAAAGGAAAAATATAAATCAATGTTTAGGTGGCGTCAGAATGGAAGATCAAGGTGTTCAGAGTCCTCAAACCTTTCTGGTGAAGAATTTTTCCTTCCTTCAACCACCATGAAAACGTAATGATCAGTGTGCTTTCAAGTGAGTTTTGAATACAGATTGTGGATTTAAAGCAGCTTCCTGGACTTAAGAAAACAAAAATGGTAATGTACAGTATTACTTCGAAGTTGAATTCAACTTTTAGAACAATTGGTAAAGCCACAGCCGATAAAATAACTACAAAACTCGTCAGCAAAATCTCAAGCTTGTTCTTTAGCGTGAAGAATTAATTTGAACATGCAGTCGTGCAACAAAGCATGTCTGCAAAATTTTGAACATTTTTATGCTTTGAATACAGATCGCGGATTTAAAGCAGCTTCCTGGACTTAAGAAAACAAAAATGGTAATGTACAGTATTACTTCGAAGTTGAATTCAACTTTTAGAACAATTGGTAAAGCCACAGCCGATAAAATAACTACAAAACTCGTCAGCAAAATCTCAAGCTTGTTCTTTAGCGTGAAGAATTAATTTGAACATGCAGTCGTGCAACAAAGCATGTCTGCAAAATTTTGAACATTTTTATGCTTTGAATACAGATCGCGGATTTAAAGCAGCTTCCTGGACTTAAGAAAACAAAAATGGTAATGTACAGTATTACTTCGAAGTTGAATTCAACTTTTAGAACAATTGGTAAAGCCACAGCCGATAAAATAACTACAAAACTCGTCAGCAAAATCTCAAGCTTGTTCTTTAGCGTGAAGAATTAATTTGAACATGCAGTCGTGCAACAAAGCATGTCTGCAAAATTTTGAACATTTTTATGCTTTGAATACAGATCGCGGATTTAAAGCAGCTTCCTGGACTTAAGAAAACAAAAATGGTAATGTACAGTATTACTTCGAAGTTGAATTCAACTTTTAGAACAATTGGTAAAGCCACAGCCGATAAAATAACTACAAAACTCGTCAGCAAAATCTCAAGCTTGTTCTTTAGCGTGAAGAATTAATTTGAACATGCAGTCGTGCAACAAAGCATGTCTGCAAAATTTTGAACATTTTTATGCTTTGAATACAGATCGCGGATTTAAAGCAGCTTCCTGGACTTAAGAAAACAAAAATGGTAATGTACAGTATTACTTCGAAGTTGAATTCAACTTTTAGAACAATTGGTAAAGCCACAGCCGATAAAATAACTACAAAACTCGTCAGCAAAATCTCAAGCTTGTTCTTTAGCGTGAAGAATTAATTTGAACATGCAGTCGTGCAACAAAGCATGTCTGCAAAATTTTGAACATTTTTATGCTTTGAATACAGATCGCGGATTTAAAGCAGCTTCCTGGACTTAAGAAAACAAAAATGGTAATGTACAGTATTACTTCGAAGTTGAATTCAACTTTTAGAACAATTGGTAAAGCCACAGCCGATAAAATAACTACAAAACTCGTCAGCAAAATCTCAAGCTTGTTCTTTAGCGTGAAGAATTAATTTGAACATGCAGTCGTGCAACAAAGCATGTCTGCAAAATTTTGAACATTTTTATGCTTTGAATACAGATCGCGGATTTAAAGCAGCTTCCTGGACTTAAGAAAACAAAAATGGTAATGTACAGTATTACTTCGAAGTTGAATTCAACTTTTAGAACAATTGGTAAAGCCACAGCCGATAAAATAACTACAAAACTCGTCAGCAAAATCTCAAGCTTGTTCTTTAGCGTGAAGAATTAATTTGAACATGCAGTCGTGCAACAAAGCATGTCTGCAAAATTTTGAACATTTTTATGCTTTGAATACAGATCGCGGATTTAAAGCAGCTTCCTGGACTTAAGAAAACAAAAATGGTAATGTACAGTATTACTTCGAAGTTGAATTCAACTTTTAGAACAATTGGTAAAGCCACAGCCGATAAAATAACTACAAAACTCGTCAGCAAAATCTCAAGCTTGTTCTTTAGCGTGAAGAATTAATTTGAACATGCAGTCGTGCAACAAAGCATGTCTGCAAAATTTTGAACATTTTTATGCTTTGAATACAGATCGCGGATTTAAAGCAGCTTCCTGGACTTAAGAAAACAAAAATGGTAATGTACAGTATTACTTCGAAGTTGAATTCAACTTTTAGAACAATTGGTAAAGCCACAGCCGATAAAATAACTACAAAACTCGTCAGCAAAATCTCAAGCTTGTTCTTTAGCGTGAAGAATTAATTTGAACATGCAGTCGTGCAACAAAGCATGTCTGCAAAATTTTGAACATTTTTATGCTTTGAATACAGATCGCGGATTTAAAGCAGCTTCCTGGACTTAAGAAAACAAAAATGGTAATGTACAGTATTACTTCGAAGTTGAATTCAACTTTTAGAACAATTGGTAAAGCCACAGCCGATAAAATAACTACAAAACTCGTCAGCAAAATCTCAAGCTTGTTCTTTAGCGTGAAGAATTAATTTGAACATGCAGTCGTGCAACAAAGCATGTCTGCAAAATTTTGAACATTTTTATGCTTTGAATACAGATCGCGGATTTAAAGCAGCTTCCTGGACTTAAGAAAACAAAAATGGTAATGTACAGTATTACTTCGAAGTTGAATTCAACTTTTAGAACAATTGGTAAAGCCACAGCCGATAAAATAACTACAAAACTCGTCAGCAAAATCTCAAGCTTGTTCTTTAGCGTGAAGAATTAATTTGAACATGCAGTCGTGCAACAAAGCATGTCTGCAAAATTTTGAACATTTTTATGCTTTGAATACAGATCGCGGATTTAAAGCAGCTTCCTGGACTTAAGAAAACAAAAATGGTAATGTACAGTATTACTTCGAAGTTGAATTCAACTTTTAGAACAATTGGTAAAGCCACAGCCGATAAAATAACTACAAAACTCGTCAGCAAAATCTCAAGCTTGTTCTTTAGCGTGAAGAATTAATTTGAACATGCAGTCGTGCAACAAAGCATGTCTGCAAAATTTTGAACATTTTTATGCTTTGAATACAGATCGCGGATTTAAAGCAGCTTCCTGGACTTAAGAAAACAAAAATGGTAATGTACAGTATTACTTCGAAGTTGAATTCAACTTTTAGAACAATTGGTAAAGCCACAGCCGATAAAATAACTACAAAACTCGTCAGCAAAATCTCAAGCTTGTTCTTTAGCGTGAAGAATTAATTTGAACATGCAGTCGTGCAACAAAGCATGTCTGCAAAATTTTGAACATTTTTATGCTTTGAATACAGATCGCGGATTTAAAGCAGCTTCCTGGACTTAAGAAAACAAAAATGGTAATGTACAGTATTACTTCGAAGTTGAATTCAACTTTTAGAACAATTGGTAAAGCCACAGCCGATAAAATAACTACAAAACTCGTCAGCAAAATCTCAAGCTTGTTCTTTAGCGTGAAGAATTAATTTGAACATGCAGTCGTGCAACAAAGCATGTCTGCAAAATTTTGAACATTTTTATGCTTTGAATACAGATCGCGGATTTAAAGCAGCTTCCTGGACTTAAGAAAACAAAAATGGTAATGTACAGTATTACTTCGAAGTTGAATTCAACTTTTAGAACAATTGGTAAAGCCACAGCCGATAAAATAACTACAAAACTCGTCAGCAAAATCTCAAGCTTGTTCTTTAGCGTGAAGAATTAATTTGAACATGCAGTCGTGCAACAAAGCATGTCTGCAAAATTTTGAACATTTTTATGCTTTGAATACAGATCGCGGATTTAAAGCAGCTTCCTGGACTTAAGAAAACAAAAATGGTAATGTACAGTATTACTTCGAAGTTGAATTCAACTTTTAGAACAATTGGTAAAGCCACGGTCGATAAAATAACTGCAAAACTCATCGGCAAAATCTCAAGCTTTCGCTTTAGCGTGAAGAATTAATTTGAACATGCAGTCATGCAGCAAAGCATGTCTGTGAAATTTTGAACATTTTTATGCTTTTAGATAAGTTTTTTTGCCTCATCTTGAATGAAACTTTATTGTTATTGAACTTCCTGTCACGTTTCTTTCATTTGGTTGCCTTTATTTGTGAATTTTAGGTTGTAAAAGTAAACAGTATTTTTGCACGCCAGATTTCTGCGTATTTAATTTACAGTGACCCCCATGGTTTGTTTGTTTACTTTATTCGCTTCGTTCAAATATATTTTTTTGAGTCTTATTCTGCTACTACAGAACTCCTGAGAAAAGAACTAAGTGGGAACTAAATTAACACATTTGAAATACAATTTATCTCAAAATAATTGGCTTGTTTTTGTCGTCTTTTTGATGTACAACTTTCATCTTTCTTTCACTGCACCATATTATTTTGTTGCGAAATTATCTGATTTCTTCTTTTTAAATTGGTTTTTACATGTGTCTTTCGCCGTTATTTTCTGGTGTTTTATCAAATGTTAATGTTGCAGTTCCTAGGGAATAATGCTTTAAATACCCCAACGAACACAAGCAATAAACACGCGTTCTATGGCGTAAAGGGGGAACACTGCTCCGCAATCGGTGTGACCAAATGCCAAACTTATCTCCCCAGTGGTTTATTCTGCACTGGATTGGACAAGTCAGCAAGGCCAAAAGCTTGCACGTCCTAAAAGCGTAACTCTAAATGGCACTACGAGCTGACCTCTGATCAGCATCGTGCTAGAGTGTAGGCAGTTCTCAAGCCTTGCTTATCTCCCCAGCACTATGAGCCGACTCCGCCAGCACGTGCTGGATCGGACAAGAGGCATAAATAGCGCCACTAAATTAGCGAAAACGAAGCTTGGGGAAGTCGCTGCAAGACTTAACCGCCACTAATACCTGCAGAGCAGGTATTCCCCCAAGCAAAAGAATTAAGAAAATAGAACGCTGGTCATACGTGGCGCAGCGGACAATAGGACATTTTGAGGTGTACGGATGTACAGTAGGTAACAATCTGAAGACCATCTGCCAAGAACTTTAATTAACCAGTCTGGGAGACCAGCAGCAGCTGCTGTAGAGGCAGCGCTGATGTGAAAACTATGACCCTTAAGGGATTTATAAGGGAGACCGGCGTAACGGGCTGCGTCCCTAAGAAAGTGTACTACCACCGACCAAGTAATGTATCGGCCAGACTGAAATGAGAATAAGGGCCCCCGAGGGCATGCGGCGAGGAAGTACGAACGCATGGCAGTCACTGTGCAGAGCGGTGAGGGTGAACACGCAATTAAAAACCGGTGACCCTCCCGAAAAACATCAGTCTTAGAAGATTTAAGAATAATTGACATCTGCCGCGGGCTGGCCAGAGAGGGATGAAATAACACACAATCGGCCAATAGGTCAAATTGAGGGCGAAACTTAGATACCCCTTGATATGTAAATTCACTGCAGCGAAGAAAACAAAAGAATGCTAGTGTGAAGGCAGCCCAAATCATAGAAAAATCCCGCTCACCCAACCAGGAGAGCAAAATGGGACGTGTGGTTAATAAAACCCTCGGGGTAACAGGTTGCCTTAGAACACGGGTATTTTGGCCCTTCATTTTTATTCAACTTTAAATAAACAATGTCTTGAAACCTGATCTTGTGTCTGTGGTTACTGCGCATATGGTATATTTTTGCGCTTTCGCCCGCTCTGAAATATTTCACAAAAACGCCGAGGAATTAGGGGTGGGTTGCGGGCAATTTCATGCAGGAGTCAATGGGTTAAGGGGTATCTACTGTAATGGCCTTCATTTGTGAATGTAGACTTAAAGTTTACAAAGTTGGAAGTATCCTTAATTCCTGATGAATATAAAAATGTTATGCTGGTTAAGAAAGAGGTTTTAAAAATCTTAAAAACCCAACGTAGTGGCCATTAACATAAGCCTTCTTCAGGGGTAATAAAATATAATGAAGTGACAAGTTTATATGTTCATTTTTTTATTAGGAGCTATGCGATCTTAAATAAACTTGTCTCTTCATTATATTTTATTACCCCCGAAGAAGGCTTATGTTAATAGATGAAATGTTGGGTTTTTAAGATTTTCAATACTTTTTTCTTAACCAATGCAACATTTTTGTAGTTATCATGGAACCACCCGGTTACAAATCAGCTTTTAATATCCTTAATTCCTGTTCAATATCAGGTGTTGCATCTAGAAAGATGAGTAGCAAACCTAAGGAATCTGATGAGGTGTTTGATGCAAGATGGCAAGCTTATTTCTCAAGGTATGGTCAACTAGTTTGTGATAGTATTCTGATTTTACTGTACTGTAGACCATTTGCAATATGCATTTCACAAGCTGAATGGATTTTCAAGTTGTTGTTCTTTTTTTTTCTGATGTAAAGAAGTTACTGCCTTATTGTTGGGCAATAATTTATGCTGTATGTTGGAAATCTATCAGTCCTCTGTTCTCATTCATCAGACTGGCACTTATCTTCCGTTTTCAAAGCATTTTATGTCTGTCAAACAGAAACATTAATTTGGTTCTTTTTGTGCCTTCAGTTTTCAAAGCAATTTATGTCTGTGTCAAACAGAAACATTAATTTGGTTGTTTTTGTGAAAGCAAAAAAAAAAAGTTTCATTTAAATGGGTCATGTGAGAGGTAGAACGTAAAAAAACAGTACCATGTAAAAGCACAGTATAGAGTTAAGTCAGTGTTCCAGATAAGTGGGGGTCTCAGGTCAAAAATGTTACAAGATCAGCTGCATGACCCAACAAATTCATAGAACATTTATATTGATTTGGTCGGAGCAGTGGGAATTGACCCATTCAAATTTCTTGTTGACACCCAACCTTGAAAACTTATCTGGAACCCTGTAAGTAGCTTTCATTTGAATCGTCACACATTAGGATTGCCTCGCACTTGAGGCATATTATTAACCAGCAGTATATACACATGCATATAGACTTCTGTAAATAGACCTAAATGTTAAATCCACTCACATTGACTCATGGTTGAATTCTTGAAGTGAAAGGGTCTTTAGAAAAGTATATATATATATTTTTTATCCACTTTATTTGTTGATTAGACCTGACATTGATCATTGGGAGCTGCGTAAAGGGTTGAATGAACTCTACGGACATGATTTGGTGCCAGAACCTAAGATCATCATTGCAATGCTGCGGGCTTGCCGTCGTCTGAATGACTATCCCATGACTGTTAGGATTCTAGAGGCTGTTAATGATAAAGGTGCAGGAAGTAGTGAAATCTACAACTACATTCTCAGTGAAATCAAACCCACCATGGAGGAACTGGGACTATCTACTCCAGAGGAACTGGGCTTAGCAAACTGATGTTAATGATAAGGTACAGTGTAAATGTCGCAGATTTATGTTAAACCTTTGCTTGTTTATTCTGACTAATAGAAAGGCCTTTGTGGTCAATTGCTCTTAAGCTCTCACATTTTGTGCATTTGCCCCAAAGAAAACCAATTTTGCAGCTTGCTTTTTGAGCACTCTGCAACAAACTATGATGTACTAGCCCGAAACTCGTTCTCACAAGCCTGCCCACCACCCCAGCCCACCCGTCCCCCAAAAAATTATTTCTTGCAATACTTCTGTAATTTGATCTAGTTCTTTTTTGTTGGGTGCTTATTGAGAAATCAGCCTGAAGAAGTTCTTAATGTGTTCGTAAACTTTGTTTCAGAAACACTACACATAACATGTTGTTAGAGGTTTAGTTAGTATATTTATTGTACATAAATAGCTAGGTAAATAAATCAGTAAGTCAATAAATAAAACAAAAATCTGTCAGGTAGTAAACTAGTTAACATTAACCAGTAGAAATGTAACATTAGCTTCAAAATTTTTTATTATGCTGACACCCTCTCCCTTATTATATATATTTAAGAACATGTTTTATTTATTAGGCTGAACTGGTTCTTATATATATGGTGCTTTATGGGCCAAATTTCAGCCTGATGTTCTTAATCCATTTGTTCTTATATGCGGGTGTTTAATGTACCTTCAATTTATTGTTACAGTTTACTCTTGTCTCTATTACTGTCTTAAAAGAACTAACAATTAATTACTAGTTCATTTTAGATGATACCAGAGTAGACTGTGAAAACAGCTGTGAGGTATTTCAATCCTGGCTGCCTCAAAATTTTCCAAAAGTCTCTAAGGGCTATATTCCATGTACCTATTCAATTTGGACCTACATGGGTATTAAATTAATTTACTCTGTCCTGTTTATTTCAGATCATGTGGTCGTGGTCATAATTCCATGGCACTTGATGCATATGCCACTGTGTTAAAAAAAGTTTGAATACATTGTAAACTGGTTTATCTCAAAATTGCATTGCAGTTATAATATTTTGTTGTGACAGTAACTTGATTTTGTAATTTTAGCAATTTATTGCATCTAGACCATCTCCTTCATTTTAAATAAAACAAGTGTAAAGAGCTACACATGGTGGTTTTCAAGTTATATTTTTAACCTCAAAGCAGTGTAGTTGATTGTTATTGACATTCATGTAAAGAAATGGCAAATGTGGACCATTAAACATAAACTGTCGTGGGAATTTGTGTAGCTGTGGAACGAATCAAGATTTAAGCAATGGAGTACTTTTTCCGTGATTACGTAGCTTCATCTAAACACAAGGGTGGTTGGGAGAATTCAAGACAGCTATGCAAACCCAAGATGCAGTCGAGGGTTTGCATAACTTTTGAGAATTCTCCCAGACTCCCGTGTGATTAGATGAGGCTATGTTAACATGAAAATATGCGCCAATCTAAGACGTTACAACTGTCTTTATATTCTCTCATCTAACACACCTATGGACCAATGAGAAGACTTGTAGTATCTCAGTTATTTAATAAACTTCGATCCCTACCTACTAGTTCCCCGTAAGCTTAGCTTGCTTTGTGTTGAGCATCATAAAACAAATCGTCCTTACGGTTTCCGTGATCACAACCTGTGGGAATTACTTTGGTGCAAATCATCAAGCACTGCAATCGAGACCAGGGCTTTTAAAAGTTATGTTGAAAAGATTGCTAGCGTTTTTCTTCTGTCCAAAAAACTTTCCCAGTAGTGTGGAAACTTTGTGGAAGGTTGTCTCGTCCGTTTTGGAAGGGGTATTAGTTTCTGGTGCTGTAGATTTGCTGGTGTGTTCGAATCCGTCACAGGAGCATGGGAAATGGGAGTAGTAGGAACGATAACTGAGATAAGTGGTATCAAAGGACCGTTCGGACATGAGGTTGAACTTATTCTTTGCTTATGCCTCTTTCAACTACAATGTTTTACGTAGGAAATCGTTAGTAGGTTGATATGGAATTGTTTGGGAAAGACTTATTGTACATAGGGGGATAACCTGAAAATTTTTTCGTTAGTGAACCGATGAACCTATAACCAGGAGGGCTTATAAGTGAGGGGTGATAATCTGTATTTTATTATAGAAAAGGAATGCAATTTGATTTGGTGTTTTATTAAAACACAACAACAATGGTGCATTGTCAACCTTTGATACTTTTTTTAAGTTACAAAGTAAACAACTACCAAGTCGAGACACTAACGTGGCCTAGCGTCCGCTAACTTGTACGGAACGCTTAATCCACAAACATAAACAAAAGAAATTAGCGAGAGTGGTAAGGAGGACTGCATAGGGACACTTGCCAGTGAAGAGAAGTACTTTTAAACGTAGCATGTTAAAACTGTGAATCCTAGGTTTTTTTGGTGTGTTTTGTTTTTGTTTTCAACAACAACAAATTAAGCCGACTTAAAATTTAAAAACTAATGGAGGGGGCTCTCGACATCTTCAGACTTACGTCAGGAAAAAAGGTTAAGAACTTTGAGAAGTAACGCTGTCACGCAAAGATGAGCCAAGAACTACGTTGAATTTATCTTCACAAAGTTTGATAGAACTCGCACAAAATCGTTGACATCGTTTTCAGGACGGAGGAGCCTCCAATGGATTTATGGGCGGTGCCTCTGCCGATCGCGATTTCCTTTTCACTGGAAAAGAAAGGATAAAAACTCACAAAACAGGAACAGCCATAAAGTTCCCGAAGGGGAAGGTTATGTTTCTGTTAAGCGTTATCGCCAGAGAACTACTATCGATATGCAAGAGCTGTTCCTATCAGTTAGGCTCCGCCCGAAAAGGTTATCGTGTCGATAACTTTCTCGGGCGGTCGTTTATAACACCTTTGGATAGTCGAGTCATGTTAACGATTTAGGTGTCAGGATCAACGAATGTCTTGCCCACGATAGATAGTATGTACAAGAAGATTGTGTTATTATAGTTGGGGGATGACAAGAAATTGGGGTATCAAACTTCTGATAACTGAGATGTATTCTATGTACTAGGGGATGGTTTACTTGTAGAATTATAACAGAAGTTTATAATGCTATGAGCTTCTCATAGTAGTAATAATAATTATCACACTGTGCGGTATTCTATATCCACCTATATCGACCCTACCTAGACCCAACGTCTCGAAACTACCATCGCCACTTTCTCCCTCTGCATATCCACCGCCACTTCCGCTTCCGGCCTTTGTCGCTGATGTGTCGTCACCAGACACTTCTTCATCTACCCCGGGTCCGTAAGTGGCCAAAGTGGGACTTCCACTCCCAGACTCCTCGTCGATTCCCGGTCCACTGGTTCGGGGAGTGGTTGGCTTTGTGGGAAGCTCGCTGCCCGAACCTGATCCCGCGCCCGAGCCCGATCCATTATCAGGTCCCGAACCTGATCCCGAACCCGTTTCTTCAGTCACCTTAGTCTTGATCTTTTTATCTGCACGACAAAAAATGCAGTTTCAGTGGTTAATAGTACTCGCAATTTTAAAACTGCTCTCAGTGGGAGCTCAGTGAAAGTGCATTTGCTCGGGTATTATATTCCTTTCAAGCCTGAATTTGATTTTTAGGCCAACTGCAACTCGACGCGAAAGGTCTGAGTCTGTTGCTCCTTGATTACCTCAAACCCGAATTTGACGCGTATGACTGATCTCAACCTTTGTTATCAGTCATGAGCAGAAGATTTCTGTTGCAAGTGATACATTCAAAACTCGCATTAAGGAAAAACTTTCGCGTCATTGTTATAGGCCCCGTTCACACTACGTCGGAGGAATTTGAAAACGGAGGTTTCACTCTGAAAACGCATCAAATGTTTTCCGTCCACACTTTGGCAGAGGAAGTTAAAAACGCAACAATAACCAGTCATTTTGGATTTGTGATTGAGGAAAACTCAGACAGGGAAATCACGTGGTTATCAAGACGTCATCGTTTTCCAAAAGCTTTGTTTTCAAAATTCTTTCTGCCCCCACTTAAACGCAAAGCCGYCGTTTTCAAATTCRTCCGGTTTGAAGAGCGTTTTCGAAAAGCTCCATTTCCGTGACGGATTAGTGTGGACGGTAGGCCTAACCGTACAAATAAAGTTGCGTTTTCGTGACGGATTAGTGTGGACGGTAGGCCTAACCGTAGAAATAAAGCTGCGTTTTCAAATTCCTCTGGCGTAGTTGTGGACGGGGCCTTATATAATCCTCACAATCCCTTTGTCACAATACATCAAGAGTCTAACTTCTAGTCATTGTAACAAATAGTTAACCAACAGAACGGGTGTTTTAGCGGGGTAGAGTGCGGAGAGCGATAGAGTCATAAAGAAATAAGGTAAGACAAACCGTAGTGGCACATTCAATATTTCTTAGTATGTTCGTGCAGTCGCGTACCTTTGACACATTGACTTCCCTCTTTGTGAAAGCCTGCTGTACAGATGCAGTCGTACTTCACTGCAGTACAAACACCACCTCCTCTGCAGCCACGTACACATTTAGCATCTACAGAGTAACGGTCGCGGCTGTACATTAGGTGAAAGTAGTTTTTGTTGTTCAGCTACCTCACTTTACTACAAGCATAGGCTGGGTTTGTGGCAAACAAGGAAATATGAGCGTTTATTTTAATGGAACGAGGGATATTTTTTCATTAATTCAGAAAGGGAACTAGGAATTCTCTACCACTAACGGGATGTTTGACGAAAAAGTTTAGGAAACAACAGAGTTTTTACGATAAATGCAGAAATATTCGCGCGCTCATTGGTTAATTTTTATTGTCAATAAGGGGACAGACACATGAATTTATAATTTATGCGATGCGTCAACGAGCGAAAGCGGTCAATTTGGCAATTTGTTATCGTAAGAAACAAATTGATGTCAGTTTTAAATGCGTCTGTCCTGTTATTGACAATGAATTTCATCATAACATTGTCAAAGTAGTCTGCGGATCCACTTGGGTGGATCCACAGCTACTTTGACAGTGTTATGACGAGATTCATGATCAATAACAGGACAGACGCATGAAAAACTGACGTCAATTTGTTAATTTTTAAACAAGGAACAAGAGGGTTGGGGAGTGAAATTCTCGAGAGAGCAGAATAGCAAGTACTCCCCCCTCCACCTCCCCCAGGAGGCCGTCTGCACTTATCTGACTGTTTCCAGTCCTAAAATAACGAACAATATAAGTGGAATCATTTTGCTACAGACGTCTTAATTCTTTATAATGGTTTCCTTAAACTTCTTACAATGTTGATAATGAGCGTTCAGAACTTTAAAGTGATTTATATGACTTCTTTTTAATAGGAACATAAGGAGAAAAACTTCTTGTTAGAGATAGGTAATACTCGGTTCAAATATAACGTCTTACAGACAATGGCATTTTACACAAAGTAGTGAATATCGATGGCGAAAACTTAAACTCACTCATTTCGACGTAAAGACTGACATCATAGGAAACTTTTCCAAGCTCATTCTCGGCCGTGCACTTGTAAGTTCCTTCGTCCTCCACCCGAGGGTCAAAAATTATTAGGGATCCCTCCCTTGTGACATGGAACCTCTTGCCCATGAACACTAGGGCACCTTCTATGGTGATGTGGAAGCGTGACTCCTCAGGAGTGCCCAGTATTAACAACCCGTCTTTGAACCACTTGATTTGAGGCGTCGGTGATCCCTTGGCTCGACATTTGAATACCACTGGCTTTTGTGGCTCTCTTGCGTCAACAGGCGAGGGATAGATCGTGAACTGGGGACGAGCTGCAAAATAAGTCAAAACATCCCATAATATGACAAAACTGCGCCCATTTGCACTGCAGTAGTAATGCCCCTGACCACGTTACGACCAACTAAATTGCACTTCCTTTTTTACCTGACTTTCTTTAGGGCGAGGAAACGGTAATAATCACTTCGCACGGATCCTTTATCCAACCCATCTTGCCTGCCAAACACCNTTTTTTTTTTTGCAGTTTACAGTAGGCATTAAACAGCAGGTCAGAAATGGACGTATGTTTGTCTTCACTTTAGTTTTTTGAAAACATTTTTTATACGTGAGAAAATTAATCTCCAAGTTTGGTGTCACTCATTGCAAAAACGAAATGCAATGATCCCTCAAGTTTATACCTGACTTGTGATGTTCAGTTAGACTGTAGAACTTGTTTGCTTCCATATCGTCATTTCTACAGAGATTCACGATGCGGTGTTCCTATACGCACCTAATGTTTTCACTTCAAATATTCTTGAAACGCAGAATTCCCCCCTGGCAATGAGGCAATGAAAAGCCTAAAGCTTATACCCAGAGTTACGGTGTGTGACAACAACAAGACATATTCTTTAGGTGCCTGCCATGTAGACGAAAAAACGCTCAGCGGTGTACGTCCACAACATTGTATTATTTCTAGCACCCTGTACACATGCAACAATGGATATACTTTTGCATCAAATTGTATCCAATTCTTACCTCCAACGGTGACCATCGCGTGGCTAGCTCCAATTCCAGCCTCATTCTGAGCAATACAAACATACTCTCCTAGGTCCTCTTCGGCCAAACCGTAGATAGTAAATTGCCCCAGTGGGGTAGGGACTCGATATTGGTCCGCTTCCAATCTCGTGCCATTCAGTATCCAGTGATACGTGGCACCCATGTTCGTTCTGCATTGGATTTGGACGTTTTCCCCGAAAAGCGCCATTACTTTCTTGGGATATACTGATACTTTAAGAGGCTCTAGACGTAAAATAAAGATCGAGAAAAAAATTGATTTTAAGAGGCTTCGATAAGTAAAAGAGATTGACGGGAGATAATGTTATAGATCCTTCATCGGTTTGAAATGTAGTCGTAGTTGAATCCCCGTTTTTTCAGTAGTCAGCTAGATTTCCTAATAATTTAACACATTTTCGTCACTGACAACTATTGTGCAAAATTCTTGATGATCCGACAAAAAAAAGGGAAAGCTCTGGGAACGAGGTTGAGTTTTTGTATGCTAGCAAAAATGCTAGTTTATTGCATCCTTAATTCGCAATGGAGCTCATGTCCAAAACCAGAGACATCAATTCTCTCCACTGTTCTGTTCGTTGATACTGAAAAGAAATGTGGATGTTTATCTATCTTGGAGATAAGGACTCTGAGAGGAATAGTGCGTATTACATTGCTAGAAAAAAAAATCGCTCTTCTCCTGAAGCGATATTGAATTAAAACCTACCACAATCGAAGTCTCTTTCCTTTAGTTGCGTTACCATGACACCGGCTAACCTGGTAGGGGTGGCACATGTTATGTCATTCAGACCTCTCTCTAGTAACCAGTCCTTTAACCAGCGCACGTTACAGTCACAGTGGAGCCCACTCCCTCTCGTTAAAGCTGTACTTGGTGGCATAGTCTGGCGATAGGCTTCTGGGACATCCCATAAGCTGAAAGAACGAAGAACTTCATTTTAGTATCAGTGAACGGGCGTAATAATTCAAAGTTCAATTTCGTTTGCCAAAAAATTCCCCAAGCTTAACCAGCATTGACTCAACAGATTAAAACTCAAATGATATAAACAAGCCGTAATATCTCCCCCCGGTTCTTTCCTGCCATACTTACAGTCTTGATATTTTTTTTAGATGATCAAATCCTCCTTTTCCAACATATGAAATTCTGTTGAAGTAAAGATGTCTATGGAGTAAAGTTAAACAGAAATTGTAAGAATTCTTCAAAATGCAAGAAAATTATTGCAAGTTTTGGTTGATTATATCTAAAGTACAGGAAAGAAAACTATAACTGAGTACTGATTGAGTCGTACAAAAGGGCCTACGAGAATAGCTTATTTAATATAACTGCGTGTAGAAAGTAATTTCACAATCAGTTATCTCAAACTTTTGACCGATAGACTACGATGCCTAATTGGCAACCCAGATTGTGTAAGTCTCTCTAACAGGTAAAAACCCGATAAGGATTTCAAATCGGGACATTTAATTTGGGCGTCGTCGATCCTCTGAGACTGTCTCACACGATGGCACAGTTCAGTTCTTTGACTTACAAATCTTTGACGTTTGAGAGTCCTTCGAGCGTCCTTGAGTTAAGAAGGGTGAGGCGATTTGAGTCAAGATATCTGTAGAGTCAAGAAAGGACGTTATTACAAACTATTACAAGTGTATGAAAAAGATAATTCAGCAGGGAGTCACTGGGTAAGCATATTGAGTGAGCAAATGAATGACAAATTGGACGGATATTTGGAGGGAAAAGCAAGCAAATCGGCATCAGAAAAGTAAAAGAAAGAATCGCTAACATCGCAAAAAATGTTGGATTCCGGATCCCTAATATGAGGCGACTAACAAGATCACATAAAACCTGTTTGGTGTCATCGGTAGTCAAGGCAAAACCAATAACTTAGTTTGCGTTTAGTCAAAACGGCGCGAATCTAACTGCTGGTTGTCGTCAAAAAATAAAAACACGAGAAATTGGAGATAAGCAGAGTCGAAGACTCGCTTGCATGTTTTAAGGAGAACTAAGTCACAAGAAGAAAGAACAACTTCGCTGTCTGTCATGAAAGTAACTGATAAAACGTTGGTGATATATAACACACCGAAAACAAACTACAAGTGATCAAGTACATGCTCGTGTGTAAACTTACAGCACGTTAAGATTTCCAAGATATCGGAAAGCACCATCCGCGATGTAGGTAATCATGTTTATACCGAGATGGCTGTGGACACAAAACCAAGAAATCAAATTTTATAACGGACTGAGTTTTACTCTCCTATATCGCTAAGGTCTGGTGACAAAAATAAATATTTTTCATGTGACTTTTAATTAATGATCTGTAACTCTCAAAGTAATTTATAAAGTTTAGCTAGTTTCGGCCTCGTCCTCAGGCGCCCCTCCTTGATTTGAGCGCCGTGCGCGAGGAGTTATGGGCCTTTTGTACTCGGACTTTCGCCATCAACGAAAATTAGGCGAGGAACCTCTTCTCATCAGTCATCCAACGCGTCTTGCAGTTTCCTCGAGAGAGAAAACTAGAGATGAGTTTAAGACGCAACTGATGTCAAGGGTGTAGACTAAATAAAATTCTGCAAAGGGATCAAACGAGATAAAATATCGAAAACAATCTTACAGGACACGGAGGGCTCTGAGATCCTCAAAGATGTTATCAGGAATAAACGTCAGTAGGTTGGAATACAAATACCTGAGAACAAATGTCAACGCAAATATTGTACGTTAGGTGGTTGGTTCAGTGTACATAAACTTACTTCAGTAAACAACGTGGACATCTAATTATTCTTCACAGTTTTGTAAATTAGTGTTTCTCGATCGTTTCTCTTTTAAAGGAACTACGTCACGGTTTGTGTAACTTGAAAACTCCAGGCTTAACTTGGAATCTTCATCCATAACCATCCCAGTTTTTCCTTTATGGTATATTATTATCTCTTTGGTGTTTTTCTAACTTAGTAAACTACTATTTTCAGGTTTCTTCAATTTGAAAGTAACTTTGTACGTAGCCAAAATAACTCAAAGTACTGCAACTGAGCTGCTTTGAGATCAAGCTTCAGATTAAAATTGAAATGAAATTCTTCTGAAGTTAATTTACAAACTGACAGAATCATTTACATCAAAGCGCCGCTCGTTAGTTTTCAGTCACTGATGTTTTTGGTAAAATGTTAGATTTGTTATCTACAGCCTCAACGTAAGAACCACTGGAATAAACAATCGATAGCTGCGTGGCATACTGATGCGAGTTATATTTTCTGTCTTAGATACTTACAGTTGTTGTAATTTCCTGGTAGCTGAGAAACTCCAAGGTTCAATTTTATTAATTCTATTACGATGAAGATACCTATAAAAAAAGAACGATCAGTGATTGAAGCACTCACTAATATCAGAAGTAATTATACCTGTC